CCCCCCAACCCCCGGTAATCTTTTCAATACTGAACTGATTTGTGTCTAGCCAATGTGCTCAGGTGAGCGATGTGGCCCATGGGCCTCTTGTTTTAGCAAGATGACAAAAAAAATAATTTATGTGAATTCTAAATGATACATTAGATATGCCCTAATCTCAGTTTATGCTACTTTTCAACTTTCTGTCATAAGGTCACAAACAATTACATGGTAAGTAAAGGTAAATATTTAGAGGAATTAAAACCCTATAGATATAAGACTATATATAGCCCTTTAAGGACAAAGGTATAATGTGATACATCTATATATAAAATAGCAGAAAGCACTGGAATGATTTATTGTACATTATGATTAAGATAATTAATACAAGTGTCTCTTACGTGTACATGTATATTAAGAGGGATTAAAGACCCATGAATATGAGACTATGCACACTGTATATATAGCATGTATTATATGGTATATATATAAAATAGCAAAAAGTGCTGGAATGAACTATGTACATTATGATTAGCATAATAATGTGCAAGTGTCTCTGTATTGTATAACTTGAAGAGGATATTATGCATAGGGGTTCCCTCCTAACAAGGAAAAGTCAGATTCATGAAAACTGCTCTTGGAGACATGGCATTTTTGACTTCAGATTTTCCACAACATTGCCTATGACATTATGACACGTTTTGGTCTTTGGGAGGTGCCTTTCAACAAGACTAATTATCATTCCAAGTTGAAGACACTTGTAATTATTTTGTGGCTAAACTTGGAAGGTTATCCATACATCATGAACTGTCACTTCAAATACATGTTAGTCTAGACTTGTGTTTATTGAGACTCTTTTGAAATGAAGTATATCGATCTGAAAGTTGTCAAAATAGTGCAGAAGCATGAAACTGTAGCAAAACTGCACTGTGAAATGACAGACTTTTGATTTGAATTTCTCATGTGACCTTCTCATCAAGGAAACAGCTAGAGGTTCTTATTTTATTACGTAAAACTCAAGGTGGTGCATTTCACAACACAGGTGTTAGTGTCAAAATGACGACTGTTTAATATGCAAAATCTCTCAAGGTTTTTCCTGTTTGTGTTTTAAATACATCAACCAAAAACAGGATTAAAATTTGTGTTTTATAGTCAGTACATTTGTTGCATCATACCCTAAGTATTGAAAAAGTGGTTGGAGGGGTGGGGGTACCCACCCTCCAACTGGGCCATAGCATTCGGGATGTTTTAAGTTGAAATATCTACAGCAGTTGTCATCATTTAGATCAAGATTTGATCCTCAAATTTATATATAATTCTTAATATTAAGAGTACACTGTCATTTTTGCTTCAGAAATTTCTGTGATATATTATTGATTGTCAAGATGTTGATGGATCATTTGCAAATTTGTAGATGACCATTTTTATAAAATCACTGCATCTTGTATTATGGTTCAAGTTTAATAAACAGTGTACTGATATTTTGTGACAGAATGAATAAGATGCACCTACATCATATCACTGATTACTTTAATGAGTAATAACACTTGCTGTTACATGAGGTGATCTGTAATTAAACTAGCTGTTACATGAGGTGATCTGTAATTACACTAGCTGTTACATGAGGTGATCTGAAATTACCCTAGCTGTTACATGAGGTGATCTGTAATTACATTAGCTGTTACATGAGGTCTAGTAGTTACATGAGGTGTTCTGTAATAACAATAGCTGTTACATAAGATTTGTAATTACCCTAGCTGTAACATAAGGTGATCTGTAATTAAACTTGCTGTTACATGAGGTCATCTGTAATTATACTGTTACATATTAAGGTGATCTATAATTTCACTTGCTGTTACTTGAGGTGATCTGTAATTACCCTAGCTGTTACATGTGGTGATCTGTAATAACACTAACTGTTACATAAGGTGATCTCTGATTACACTTGCTACATGAGGAGGTCTGTAATAACACTAGTTGTTACATTGGTGATCTGTAATTACACTAGCTGTTACATGTGGTGATCGGTAATTACACTAGCTGTTACATAAGGTGATTTGTTTTTACACTTGCTGTTACTTGAGATTATCTGTAATAACTCTAACTGTTACATGAGGTGATCTGAAATAACCCTAGCTCTTACATGATGTGATCTGTAATTGGCTGTTACATGAGATGATTTCTAATTATACTAGCTGTTACATGTGGATGATCATTTTCATTAGGTAATCTGTAATTACACCAGCTGTTACATGAGTTGATCTGTAATTACACTAGCTGTTACATGAGGTGATCTGTATTAATACTAGCTGTTACATGAGGTGATCTGTAAGAACACTAGTTGTTGCATGAGGTGATCTGTAATAACAATAGCAGTGGCATTTGGTGATCTGTAATAACCCTAGCTGTTACATGAGGTGATCTGTAATTACCCTAGCTGTTACATGAGGTGATCTGTAATAACACTTGCTGTTACATGAAATGATTTGTAATAACATAGACTGTTAAAATTATTTTTCAGACATTAGACAAGAAGCTACAAAGGATAGCTATGGATCAGAGCTGAACTGCACAGTAGCTTTCATGTCCCAATGCTGCTCTCTTAAGAAGTGTAAAGTTTCCTGCATGTCAATGGGAGCTGCACAATACCGATGGTTCCATGATCATGGCTGTTGTCAGTGTATAGGAAACAACTGCATCAGCTATGGATTAAACAGGTAAATAAATTTGAGACAGCTTATAATTACACTACAATGGTTGAAGCCTAGTGTGTGCTTTTGATTTTTTTGTAATGATTATCGAAAATGAATTACTTGGTTTTTAAGTCTTATCAAGAGGGTTTATCTAAAAAGTTATTTTATCAATGTTTTTGGATTCCATGGGCCAGAGTTTGATAACCTGTTAATACTGTCAAAAGTTACTACTCTCATAATTCATGTTGAAAAATGTCTTCCTTGTTTTAAGCCAAAATTATTAATACAGGGGAGTATTTATTAGTAATGAAAGACATTTGAAAGTCAATGTTGACAGTAATCACAGTGTTTATCCACGAAAATGGTGTCTCAAATGACTCGGATTAATAATAGCCTTGCCTTAGGTATTGATTCAAGAGTTTTGGGGGAATACAGCGTGAAAATCATTTACCATATGCATGATAACAAAGACTGAAAAATCTTTAGATGCAGTGTTAATATGTCAATTATTTTTGTATTTTGTCAAAGAAATTTGTTATTTCCTTTGAAATTAGAATGTTATCCATTGCTTAATTCAGTATCCATTGTGAGAAAGAGGTCCATATTATATCTGCAATAAACTTATAAAGACAACATATCGGGGGAAAAGTATTGATTTGCTCAAAAGTATGTTGTATTTTTATGCCCCCTTCAAAGAAGGGAGGGCATATTGCTTTGCTGCTGTCTGTCAGTCGGTCTGCCATTCTTTCTGTCTGTCGGTCCACCAACAGTTTCTGTTCATTTTCTTCGCAGAGGTTGCACATACTGAAATGAAATTTGGTATACAGATTTATCATAAGAATATCTAGGTCAGCTTCTGTTTTGGGTATGATCGAACAATTTTTTACAGAGTTATGTTTCACAAACTTCTCTTGTTTTTGTAACACACCTTGTAATCTTGTTTTTTTTTTTTTAGTGCAAATTGTCTTCAGTGTCCTCCACAAGACGAAGAAACTGAAAATCAATTACAAGAAGAAGTGAACAAACTGGTAGAAAATTCTCTTGTAGAGGAAGAGGAGGAGTTTGATGAGGAGTTTGATGATGAGGATGAGGAAGATGAATTAGAGGAGGACAGGGGTATTAATGAGCTGAAAACTGTTGGCTAACACCTGATGTTTGTGATAGATTAAAAATAGAAACAACATGTAGACAAGAATTCATATATTTTAGCAATACATCATGGATGATCTGTCAAATTGGATCTGCATATTTGTTATTTATGTTGTGAGTATACATATCTTTTAAAATGTCCACGTACCGTTGAAATCATTATGTTAAAATATTGATTTGAAGATCATGATTTTTCAGAATTTGTCCGAATGAATTCTGTGTACAGTAATTTCTGTTAATTTATCTTGTTTTGTAAATGTCCTCTGTCAGTATTTAGTGAGGAGTTCAGTATTGTCCCTTTGTTCTCTAGATTTGTTCAGGGTTTCTTATTAGACACCCTTACAGTAAATTCTGTATTCTTGTATTTGTAGGTTTAATGTACTAAGGTACAAAATACATGTACACATAATTTCATTATGTGTACATCATTTTTTTTCATTTCTTTTTTTATGTGTACATGTACTTGGTTTATTTATAACTTTTTATTCAGTTACATATAGATGTTTTTAAATTACTTGTTCTTTTACCAAAACACCTCAATCAACCTATTAACATTGTTATTTTTAGCTCACTTGAGCCAGTGACCAAAGGCTCAGTTAGTTTTTCTGATCAAAGAATGTCCCATGTCTGTAGCCATCTGTCTTGTCCTGTTTTGTTGTAAACTTTTCACATTTTCATTTTTTCTCCAGAACCACTGACCATTTCAACTAAACTTGCCACAACACATCTTTGGGTAAGGGGATTCAAAATTGTTTACCTGATAGGCCACACCCTCTTTCATGGGAAGATAATTAAGAGTGAAAATAGTATAGGTTCATTCCTGTCTGTTTAAATCTTGCCCCTGGGGCTACATGGAGCCATAACAAGGGTTAAATGCGGGAATATTTTTATGACAAATTTTTCTAAATCTTAAATAAGAATATGACCGAAAGGGCTGTAATTAGTGTATAATGCAAGCATCCAAATGTAGTCTGGATTCAGATTTGTTCAAATCATGGCTCCAGGGGCTAGGATTGGGTACATAGGAGGGTTTTGAGCTTTTCACAGAAATATGTGAACTTCTGCCAGAACAACAAAGATAGAATTTGTAAAGTTTGGGTCATTATACATTAAACTGGAGTTGCTGACATTGTCAACTCAGGTGAGCATTGTGGACCATGGGCCTTTTTTTTAGATACACTTTTATAGTGTAATAATTGCTTATAAAAATATCTGCAATTCAATGAATTGTAAAGGCTTCTCTTCAAAATGGAGAGAATATAGGTAAATCTGGTTTTAATTGAGCGAGGTGTACCAGATGGCACATATCTTCTTATAGCATGAAATAGTGCAATGTGTTTTCACTGAAATATTGGGGGAAAAGAGATTTTAAATACAGGACAATGTTTAGTATGAATTTACACTTTTATGTAAAGATTTGTTACTGATCACTTATTTTACCCTCAATTTAATGACAATTATCTTACAAGCTTACATACCAGAGCACAAGTATATTAATTTTTTCAAACATTTTTTATTCAAAGAAACCTTGAAGTATGCCCTAAAATATCACATTTTCTGTGTATTTATACATCCTAGTTAATAATGCATTGACAATTTTTATAGTATTTATCAATGCCCACCAAAAGCTGTTTTTATGGTACTGTTATATTGATTTTGACTTGAGAGCATTTTGTAAATACTTGACATCATGGTCACTGTTGATATTTTCTGTCCATGTTTTATTGATTATACATATACGTCCAGATGTCAAGTTCTCTCCCCTTGTAATTCAATAATAGTGCTTTTTTGGACCAAAGACCAAATAAAATTTGCAATAACATTGTATCAATCTTTCTTTGTATTTACTTTGAGCTTGTTGATGGAGCTTTGTATGGGCAGAATAACTGACCAAAAGAAAAGAGATGATTTGACTAATCAGGAGACAGCTGTAGTTGAGGTCCAGATAACTAGTAATCCAAACTGACCTCTTACTTCCAAGCTTAAGCTGACCTTTTACTTCCAAGCTTTAGCTGACCTCTTTCTTAGGTCAACCATATTTGCCAATCCAAACACATTCAAACTGAAGACTGGAGACTGAAGCAGGATGAACAGACATGTTTATGACATCCTCTCATTTCTGTGTTGGAGGCTAAATATCTCGTGCTGTATCATCAAAATTGTCCTGGATCCATTTGAACATGATAAATGAAAATACACAATTTTGCACAGCAACTTTATTATAATTGTTGGCATGTATATCTAACTCTCCATATTGTAAACTGTATGACCTGCATATAATACTATTATCTGTGTATAAACATAAAAAAATCAAACAATGGAACAGAAAAATAAGGATAGGCATAAAATATGCAAAAATAATGTTGCAATCATATCTTTTAATGAAACATATACATTCTTTAGCACATAGTTCAAAATTATATTGTTTTGACAGGTATTAAGAATTTTGACTGCTAATAAAAAAGTCATTGCATTTCACCTTGAAATCACCTGACATACTTAATTCTGCATGGTAAATAGGTAATATCTTAAATGACTGTTACATATTGAAAACAATGATTGCTATAAATATTTGCAAAAGAATGGTGTTGCTTTTTTTGACAGATGTACAGCTCATTAGCTATACAGTAAGAATGACTTATTTTCAATCTCATACCTTGCAATGTCAAAAAAATTTATTCCACTATTGTATTTTTAGATTTGATCTACCATATTTGAATTGTTTTTCTATTCATTTGAATAAATTGCATTCTGCATAGTGTAATTGATGAATAGAAAAAACAAAAAATAAGCAGGAACCAATTATCAAAATTTCAATGTTTGCTCATAAGCATATATCAAGACCTTTATTTTTAAAATTACATCATTATTAATCCAACCATTCCTTAATTTCTGATGCTGGATGTGGCAGGATTTGTAATTCCAATTTCACTTGCTTTAAAATTCTTGCAATGCCTAATGCTGTCTTTTTAATTAATAGTAAAAATACTGATGCCAAAAAAAGGTTTCAATGGTGCATCACCTGGCATGTACTTTTCTTCGAAAAATTTTGGAAACTTTTAATCAAACAAAAGTATAGTATATATTTCACATTGTTTGTGCTCCTCTGGAAATGTATAGAAAAAATATTCTACACAGATTAAATGATTTCATTTGGAAAAAAAAAATATGAAAAATTGCTCTCTGAATGGATCAAATTTGTGTTAATTCATGTACATTTTACAACTTTAGGTCTCTACTTTAGTACTGTAACTCAAAAGACCTACAGTACATCTATGGGTATCTATTATTTACAGTTAAATCCTGCACATTTGTCTATAAAGTGAATATCTCCTACACCAATCACTCATTGATAAAACTGATTCAGAAGTTAAATACTGTTAACATACTGTGCAGTAACCAATTCTTAGAATCTTTTGTACTGCTTTCTGTCAGCTATTTCAAACACACCCTAATATATGATTAAAACTAATACATATAAACACTTAGCTCCAAATTTATTTTTCCTAATTTATGGTAATGCCAATTAGTTAACGAGGAAGATTTTTTGAGTAAGCGAATTTATGTATGTTTACAGTATAAATATGCTCCTTGAACCAAAACCAGGTCAAAGTTATTACTACTTTTAATATGACATATACTGTATGTGTACTTAAAAAAGCAGGCTTCATATTTTAGCAGCTTTGGCTCGGACAAGGATGCGCTAATTCATGAATGCCGCGAAGAAAGTATTTATAAATACAATATACGGCATGGAAATGTATAGCACTACTTCACGATTTCGCCAACAACTCCACACCCAGTGACTGCGCTAAATTTTGAAAACGCCAATTTATGTACATGTACAGTATACAACAAAACTACTTTGCTAATACATGTACGTCACTTAATAAATATATCAACAATTTTTTCCCGCATACTTAAAAAGCTACTTATTTTACAGATACCTAATACATGTAATAATAAAAAAATAATATGTAATGATAAGTTGAACTGTAAAAGCACCCATAATGTGGAAAAAAAAAACAACATACAAAGCACCCTGATGTGCATTCATTAACTACTGTATTATCAAAGGTGAAAAGCTTCCCAGTACAAAACCTTGAGACAGATTACCTTTATAAGCACCATGTGTACAACAGTAATTCCTTTCAATGATGATCGATTAATATGTAACATAATAATCCTATTGCATGATCCAATGCAAAATGAAGAAGATCAAACGTAAAAGGAAATAAAATGTAAAATTACTTATCAGCATTAATTAAAGATCCACAGTGTTATTTTTATACCCTGACATATCAAATGCAAAAATTTCATGAACTTAATATCTATAATAAATCATACACCTCCAACTAGCAGAATATATATAGAATTTTTCAAACAATTCCAAGGATAAATACATTATCATAAAAATTGCATTTTTTATTTTCAAGTCTCTTAAAAGTCACCCAAAAAATATGAAGAATTCGATGCAAGGCATATTTCTACAGCAATATAAAAAAACTTAAAATGCACTTTTAAGTAGGACAAATACATTCTGGAGTTTACTTGATGCTAATTTGTGATTTAAATAGCACAGGGTAATCTGCATGCAAAAATGATTTTCCTTATAAGAATTTATGAGCTCAATTTATTTTACTGGCATGCATTCACACTCTGTAGATTTACAACTCCTATTTACTGAATTACATACTAAAGATACCTTTCCTCTTCAGGGACAATTAAGAATCAAATGAAGTCTACATATTTTATGTTTTGAACAAATAAAAGGCCATGACATTTGAAAAGAAACTGAAATAGTTTCTGGACACATACATCCAAATATTAAACATTTGATCTTTTGTTTTGAAATTTAGGTCGTTAAGAAATATTCAGAGTTTGGTGCTGACCGATTGCATATCATTCTGAATAAGAAAAAGTACACTTAACTTTACGTATATATCACACTACTTTTCCAGTGTCACATAGCCATAGTAACCCCCAATACTGCATAGTAAACCTTCCCCTGGAAAGTTTACTTTAGGCCTATAGTAAATATCTCCTTGGGGATGATAAACATTCCCATTATACCTGGATTTTTAGTTTGTATGATTACAAACTCACAATATAATAATTTTTAAAGGATCAGCTATATTATATGCTATAACCATTCAAGTCAAATCCAAACCTATCACGGTTAAGTGGAAAGGTTTTAATGCAGAATAAATACCATATAGTTAACCTTAATAATTCTGCCATGATGGAAGGTGGGGGGGAGGGGGAGATTTACTGTATAACACCAGGCAGAGTAAATCACACCATCTACAGTTTACATGTACTATATCTCTACATTATCATCTAAATACATATGAAATGGAAGATTTTAAGTGTACATGTATGTAACTATAATATCTCCCAAACTGAATTTGGGTTTAAATGACTATGTATGAATATGTTCACCTGATTTTGTGTACTAAATTCTACATGGCTAGCATAGGTTAAGAATTATCATCACAACCATTTGTCACAAACAGCATGTCATAAAACAATCGCAAACAACATATTTCTCATCTATAACTTTCTAAAGAATAAAGTATTTCTAAATGAGCATTTTACTATAAATGTCAGTGAAAATGTGAATTTTACTGCCAGTATATTTTGTTACTTCTTCAATTTTCCCCAAACTTAAGTAATTGAGCTGAAAGTCCTATGTCCATCTGGGGAAAAAAGTTATTCATTGTTAGGTTTCATTTTAAACAAAAACATAGAAGAATTTTTTACAGAAACTTTCACCTTGCTCAACCTGTTATGTGTTGGTGAAATATTGCAAATGAATAAAAAAAAATTCCCTCAAGTATAAAACCTTTCTTTCAAAAACAAATTGTTAGCAACAACCGAAAAAAATTGCCAAATTAATACACCTTTTTTGATGGGGAGAATTTTGATAACTTAACCAGACATCAATCTGACAAGACAGATGTCACCAGAGAAGTATTCCAGTAATAATATGTGAACCAAAAAATATGAAAGCTAGCAATCTTTTAAAAGTTAAGAATAAAAAAAACAATGAAATTTTGGCTTGATCTTGACCTTGACCCAAGGTCAACTTTAAAATAAGGAATATTGCTTCATCTGTAGGGTAACTACTTCAAAATATAAAAGCCATGTCTCATGACATCAAAAATTATTTCAATTCATTCTGTTTACAATGAATTTGAAAAGTTCATTTATACCTCCTACATTAGGAACATAAAATGCTGTGTGTGTATGAGTTCCATATTTAACACCTCTAAAAACCTTCTTTAAAACACAACACTCAGAGCAATGTTAAATTGTATAACTTTTTTTTTAACCAAGGCAATATAATTGTAAAATTCATTGCCCTTGTTAATATGAGCAAAATCTTACAGAAGCAGTCAAATTCACTTTAGAACTTGTGTTAAGTACATTGTATAACCTTGACCTAATGTAAAGCCTTGACCTTTCATTTAACAAAGTGCTAATTCATGTATCTCATATAAATCAACAGTTATTGCAAAAAAAAAAAAAAAAAAAGGATTAAATTGTGAACAGGTGTTCAGACAAATACTCAAATAAAGACCATGTTCAATATACCCCTGATGTTCAATTTTCAGCACAAAAAAATTAAATAATGAATAGTTTAAAAATGAGCAATGAACAGTATAAAATTTTAAGCACTGACTTCACAGAATTGGACACAATAATACAACTGGCAAGAAGTTTGCATATGTCTTCTGTCCTGGCAAAAATTGGTTTTTGTGGGGAAAAAAAGAAGTGTCCAAGTAATGGCCCATAATGCGTGCATCAGAAAATCAGGTCATTCTAAATTACTTCAGATACACCAAGACTGAACACATGTCAACTGGCATTGATGATTAATTAAAGGTCTCATGTTGTTCAAGACACGCCCAGGAAAAAGAAAAACACTTACAAATAAGATTTTAAAAGATAAAATAATACAGATTTCATGCTTGATAAATACTTTCCCAGACGATATTGGTAGAGGTGCCAAAAACATGGAAATCATGCAGCAGTGTTTATGTCTACAATGTAAACATGGGTATTATGAATGTTTCAGCTTCTTAATTAAGGCCCATTCCCACTTCTCAAACATTTGATTGGTATTCTAATGGTTAATGATTCTGATGAGTAAAGGAGATGCTTTGACCCAACATTGGTTCATGCCATAGACTGGGGTTAAAGTCTATTCCTGCAACTTTAATGATGTTTTCGGACAATTTACCTTGTAGTGAACAATAATTTAGATAGTCTACAGTATGTATGATGTCAAAGATTATAAACCAATGATATTGCTTGAATCTGACACACTTCACTGAAGTAGTATGGTGTTTTTTAAAGGTTTTATACAATTAATTACAGGTTACCATATCGACGCAATACCATGCTGGAAAACTTGTGGAAATTTTGTAACATATATGATTTAATTTCTGGCAAAAAATCTAAACCAAATTTTGGTTGCCTTAACCATTAATGGTCTTATGCCTCAAAAAATGAAAAAATATGACCTTCACATGAAAAAGCTAACAGACAGACAGATGCACAGATGTACAGACATAAGGTCAGCCCAAACCATTATACAACCCATCAAAAGAAGGGCAAATGAAAATAAACACACATGTATTACATAAAAAAAATGCCCTGAATACCATAAAAAAATAATATCAGCAATTCATATTCAACTAAAGAATGTAGACATACATATATTTCATTTCAACCTGCTTCAATCAAATTAATACTGAATATCAAGGTTTCATACATGTATAATGGTTAATGTGGGATTGTTGCATCTTTGCTGAGTTGTTCATGTAGAATTGTGGCAAGTTTACGATGTCTTCGGTGGGCAACTCTTCAGCAATTATTAAAAAATGAAACTTCTGGCTAGAGTATTCTCTGGGCATTTTTCTCTAGTTTATATTTGTCTCTCATTTTGTTGAACCAAAACCATGCATACTCTGAGAGGCACCTAATCCTGGAAATGAAGAACATTCCTGCATATGTAAATACCGGTAGTTATGCATTTATGTTTTAAAATACAAAGGCTAGTCAAATCTGATTGTTGCTTGTAGATGTTCTCCACTATTAGCCAACTAGGCTAATCCTCAAGAAAATTTCATTCACAACTGGAATGTGGAGACTAAATACTTCTAGTAACACGAATCAAAATTTGTGCAAAAAAATAAAACATGAATTTTTAATACTATTTAAAACTACATTTTTAATACTGTGATATAAATACCTGGCCAATGGGTACGATTTGCGAGAGGGTCACTCCACTGCATGGACACAGGACGGTGAGCCGGAACCTTTTCTGGCTGCTTCTGATTTGGAGCCCCTCCCTGACTAGTTTGTGACCAAGACTGCTTTGGGGGCCAGGTATTAGTTGAGTGTTTGTCATGCTGCCCCAAAATTTTCTGATTTTCTGCATCTTCATCACTGCTTCCACATGGGCTAGAAGAAAATGCTGAGGTTAAATTTTTCCTTGTGTCATACTTAACCAACATAATCAATTTATTTATTTGTTCCATTTCATTTTAAGGGTAATATTAATTTTTTAATTATAGCATACTTTTAAAAAGGTGCAGATCTTAAGATCACTGGACTGAAAAAATTGGGATGGATACTGTGGAATCATCATTCTTTGTTGGGGACAAATGTTCATGGATTTCATGTGTTATTACAAAGTTCAAACTGACTAAGGATAATTTTTTAAAAATGATACACAAAAAAATTGAGAATTTTACTTTGCTTCTAATGCATTCACAAGGTCCAGCCCCATGGCAAAGAATGGCTCCCCACTAGAGGAGTCGTCAGACAGATCGTCGGAGTCCTGAAGGGCAGACCAGCTGCTGTGTAAAATGTCCGAACTGTGAACAAAAACAATTCATTTTCAATTCAAAATGAAATTTATCAGGACAACATCATATCTCATCCCAAAAAAATAAATAAAAATAACAAAGACTCAATAGTTATTCATTTGCACTTGAGTTACTTTGTCTGATGCTAGCAAGTCAAGGGGAATCACTCAATATGCAATAACATACAAATAAATGTAAAACCTAAAAGTGTTAATTTTAAATTTCTTCCATCAATCAAAAATAGAGGAGCCAAGTTGAACAAAAATATCTTGGCAAAAATTGCTCTCAAATGTAAATGATGTTACACATACTAACATTTAAATATTGCAATCATTTTTGAAGATCAAACAATAATTCATTTTCAAATGTGTTCAAAATATGCAAGGATGACATTTACATTGTACATATTTTTGGTGCATTAAGTTTCAACACATACTACCAGTACATCTATGTAACTCACCCTTGAGATGATGGCAAGCTCTTGGTTACCCAGGGTCTATATTTAGGTTCAGGATATCCCCATGGAAATCCCGTTGATGGATGGCCAGTGCTATGCATATTTATTAGATGTCTTCCACCTACATAAGGATCCTTTGAATAACGTCTTGGGATGGTTGCACTGTGATGACCACAATCAGGAGAACTTGCGAGATGACTTGAAGGAAGACTTGAGCGATGGGGCCAGGTGTTTCCTCTAGCTACACCTGTAAAATCTAATGATCCCTCTGACCTTCTCTGACCTTTAGTCTGACCAGCTCTTGAGCTATCATCACTTCCACCTGGTGAGGGTGTCCTGGAAGAGAACCTGGAAGAGAAGCTGAGACCGGGGGAGGAATTCCGTGACGGATAAAGAGAAGGCACGGTCAGGTGATTTTCATGGATTGTCTGCATCTGTGTACTTGGTGCAACAATTCCCGAGAGTAAATTCACAACAGAGTCCAGCTCTTCTTCTGTGGCTAAGGGATTTCTTTCTTCGAAGTCTTGAGTTGTGATTTCTGGCAATAGAATACATGTACCATCATCTATAGATGCTGGTACAATGGTAGGTTTTTCGTTTTCTTGTACAGGATCAAGTCCAATATGCACCAGAATTTCTGGTTTGTTCAGCACCTGACTGTCCCCCTTTGGAGTTTCTGCACCTGTTTTCTCTAAATCTACATAAAAGGCACTGTTACCATCACTCTCCACACTTTTTCTCTCAAATAAGGATAAAAATGTAGATTTTAAATTTTGTTTGGCTGGAAGCTTTGGAGAGGCAGATAGACTTTTCTTTTTGGAGGAAGAAAAATTATGACTTGGGGAATCCCTTGCCACCAAGTCAAGGTCAGTCATTTGTTGAAGAACATCTTTGGTATCTGTGGTTTTGTATTTCTGGACTAGTTTGTCAAGCACTGACGAAATGGTGGTAGAACACAGCTGATGGTAGTCAGACTGTACCTTGAGGAACAAGAGAACACACTGACATAGCACCTGTAAAAAAAAATAATACGAATTTTATTTCTGAATGTGAATTTCTACTAGTGCTCATCTTATGCTGACCTTCTGTTGAGTGCTGATCCAAATCAACTTAAATATACAAATTTTTATATTTTTTCTCAATCTGTATTTTTTAGAGTCATTTACACAGGGTAATCATTTATAATTTTACAAATTTATCCACAAGGGTCTTAAATCTTAATTACACAATGACCAACATTATGAGCACAATGAAGAGATAATTTTGGTTTGCCTCAAACTAGAATGACACTCTGTCATTGGATAACAGATGTCACGATCCTGCCCTCAATATTTCTTTGGAGGACAGTTGCAAAATTTGGACGGCAACATGGCAGATAAAACATTACGTCATTCAAATTTTACAGAAAAAAAATCATGCTAGTGTTATTTTCACTTTTAAAAGAAACTGATAAATTTACATCCTTACTGATTTGGCAACGCTGCGATCAAATTCAAAGTAGTGCCCCTTTTCAGTGATGTAATCAGTAAACAACAAGATGACTTATACAGACAAGAGAATACTTTCATAATTGATTTCGTTAGGATTGTTATCTGTTATTGGTCCTTGACAAAACAAAACACTTATTATATTTGTTATTGACTGTCCATAGAAATATGCCAGGTTGTTCAAGTCCATGGAAGGCTTGGCTTCGTCTTGCCTTCCATGGACTTGAATTGATTTTATTTAGGCCTGTTATGTATTATTCATCCTCCACAATACAACACATTTCAGGGTTCGACACTAACTTTTTTAGGCTTTAGTCCGGCTGGACTAGTGCTTCTTTACTTTTACTAGTCCGCATGCAATTTTATGAGTCCGTTAAAAAAAAAAACATCAATGTTTTGTAACGGCTAATTTAAAAATAAACATTGCAATGTACTTTTTATACTTTTTTGAAATAAAGCATTTACTTGAAAGTCTTATTCCAAGATTTGTTGAAATCTCGCAATCAGGAACTGCGATCGTATTCCCGATCTCGATTGTTTTTCTCTATACATTACATCCAAACTTCTTTATGTGTCATACTAAATCATGATCGCTAAAATGTTGAATTTCATACCAATCAGTCCTAAAATTAAGTGCCGAATTGACTCAGAATTACCTAACTTCCCACCAAGAAGCTAGAAAGCTAAAAATACATGCGGGGTTTTCCAGTGAAAGTTGTCGAGAATCGAACATTGGTAATTTATTAATTTTTTTTTTGGTCCGTTTATACTAATTAGCCACAGATTTTATTAGTCTGAATGAAAATGTATTAGTCTGAGACTAACGGACTAACGTTAATGTCGAACCCTGCATTTGTTATGTTTATTACTGACTGTCCATAGAAATATGTTGGGTTGTTCAAGTCCACTGAAGGCTTGGCTTGGTCTCGCCTTCCATGAACTTGAACAACCCGACATATTTCTGTGGACAGTCAGTAACAAACCTGATAAGTAATACTGCAGCAGATCACTTACCTGTAAATGAGACTTGGTTTTCTCAACACTTTCCAGTGACTCTAGGTGACTCCTGAGACCAATTAAAAGCTTCTCAATTTCCCTCAGTTTTCCAGATGGATCAATTCCATTGCTGCTAGTGTAAATGAGGCTAAATGCTTGACTGGTTTCCAGCCCCAGATAATGGTAGTCAGATTCACAGAGACTGTTACAGAAGGAGTCCACTAGATGGGTACCAGCCCCATCAAACTTCTTCCATACATCCATATACTCAACCACACCTATAAATTTAGTATATTAATGGTATATAATTAACATTCATTTATATTATATAGTGAAATGTAATACACTGGATTTAAAAAATAGACTAGTAGTACAATATTACCAGTTAGTTACTTCATCATATCATTATGTATACTGGCCCTCTGTTTACCATCTATTTATCTTTTGTCTGGGGCTTCCAATAACACTAACACTCTTAATTTTCCTTCTCTTCTTCAACCCTATTGTTCTAGCCTATACTATATGGAGAGGACTTATATAGGCAGTGCCTGCTGTCCAATCTTTTTATGATTACATGTATACATAATAAAATATTGTTTAAATTAATAAGCCTAGGCCAAAATAAAAAATACCTTTGTTTCCCCTAACGCGACCGACCCACTTAAATCGTGCCGACTGAAAATTTTTTTTCAATAAGATTATTCAAATATTTTTTTTTATTGTTTATCAACTTTATAAAATACAATTTCATTAAAATCCATATTTTATCAGAACAGCAGCTTTTGTTCTACTCTCATTTATGTGGCCACAGAAGGTTAGCTCGTGTTATAAAACAACAGTGATTTATCAATCTTAATATATACATGTATCTTTAACTTATTAGAATCCTACACTCTTGAAACATTTCGTGATTTAAATATACCATGACTAAGGAGTGTTAAGATGGTATTTGCAAATGTGTCTTCTAAAATTAACGTATAAGTAATAAGCATAGCAAAGCCTGTCTCATGAGCAGATGAGGGCCCACCTTGTGTATTGCATATCAATAAATTTCAATGCATTTCATTCGTTTCGATCTAATAAACACTTCATGTATGATTCTATTTTTACTATATAGGATCATAGGAGTTTGTAAATATGTCTTTGTTTAATTATTTCATCTTGATAAATATAATTTAGATTTTCTTCATTTCTTTTATTTATGGGGTAAACTTCGTGTCTGACTATAACATTAGATATATGAAACTTTAATCATTTTAGATATGGTTTGGTTGAATTAAATATTGTTTATACAGGTACACTATTTTCAAATAGTGTTGAATATTTTTTTTTAAAAATTGCCTCATCGGGACCTGTGACTTACAATAAATTCCTGAATTACATCGCGTCTCCAAAACGAAACACTAGAATTACTGAGCAATGCGAGGCCCTTGAAATTTTGTCTGTGTAAACACTCGAAAATGATAGTAGGTTTGAAAAAATATACTCGGATGGCAGATGGTTGAGTATTTGAGAATCTTGTCTTTCTGTAAAAATTCGATTTCAATAAATTTACGCTGGCCTGAGATATTTCACAAGTTCAAATGAATAATATTTGTAAATTAATTTACCATACATGTATGTTGCTTTTAAATTTTATTTGTATGATATTCGGTTTAAAAATTGGTTTCTTTTGTTCTTTCTTATTTATAAAGATTTTATTTAATTTTTCAGAATGTATTTTCAAAACTGCTGTCAGAAAAAAAAAATAATTTACCTACCTACCTACCCAATTTGAAATTTTAGGGTCGGGTTAGGGGAAACAAAGATATTTTTAATGATAGCCCTATACTATTCATCAAATTGACAAGTACGTAAGTCAGTAGGATTATATTAACCTTCATAGCAATTTTGCACAGTCTCATGGAAGGATTTCATTGGGTTTTGCATCAGTAATTTTGATTGGCTGTCTGCAGAAAAACTCCTTCCATTTCGAACATTTCTTTTATGGCTCTCCATGCTTATGATATTTTGCAGAAAAATGTGTGAAGAAATTCCGTGACCTCATTTTCTTTGAAGCTTAACAGATGGTTGGACACATCCATATGTGTGATATTGCAGTGGTTTTAAATTATATAGGTGTAAGAGAATCAGCACTGCAAGCAACTGAACAAATCTGAAAGCAAATAAAATATGTTTATATTATTTCAAAATTATCACTTTCAAAATACCAAGTCTATTATCTTACATAATCATACAGTAAAACTTGGTTATAATAAAGTTCTGTCAATTTACTTCAATATATCTGTTATTTGTAATATCCATATAACAAATTCGTAAAAGTATATACATGTACAGCAAATTCACAATACACACATTACTAACAAATATGCTCTCTGAAGTATTTTCAAATGGTAGATAGAACATTCTATCATTAAAATGATACTGTCCTATGGACCAGGTTAAATGATAGAATTCGTTCCATGTGTTGGCATGTAGCAAAATAAACAGGGGCAGATAATTCTAATCTAAACGTTTACTACAAATAATCCAGAGAGTTCTGAATGTCAACATGGCAATCCATGTAAATTTGAAGGGAGAAAAAATGTTGAGAAAATGAGTTGAATTTTTGTTTTTATATGGATTACTTTTTAGGGTAAAAGGCATATACAAGCTAAAAAGGTTTGTTACAATAATGTGCTAGTTTTTTTTTTTCAGTGCATCCTTTTGTGTTCTTAAAAATTGTTTCGGAGTGAATCCACTCCAATTGCTACATTGCAACTATATGGGACATATTCTAATTGTGGTGAGGGCTTGTCCCAAGACACAGTTATAGATTATTCTAACTATTTCAAATGGGTGTGTAAAGGGTATGTTTTCTCAGCAATTATTAGGGAGCACAGAGAGTGGAGTAAAGGGTCACTCGAGAAGCAAGCTCAATAGACTAACATGTAAGAACAGAGAAAATTCGAATTAAAATCTGTATATTCATCAAGCAGTACATGTGGCACCGTAAAACATATTTTTTGCAAGGAATGGCAGTAGCCAGATTGTGGAATTCTGGGAACTTGACCAATGTTTGGATTCCAGTTATTCCTGATACTCGTCATACAATAACTAAGTCTCATTATCTCTGTATAACAGTTTTAGGAATATTATCTTCAAACTTCATAGTACATAACTAAATCAACATGTGATATCTACTTCAAAAAAAAAAAAGAAAAGAAAGAAAGAAAGAAAAAGAAAAAATGAAGTCCATATTGACGGTAACTTTTGTCCACTCCGCATGCAATATGCAGACTAGATATTTTGTTCTAACCAAAATAAAACTTACTCCTAACATTTCAGACGCCCGTAGTTGAATCGTTAGGCTACAGGAAGAAAAGCTTTACTCTTTGGTTCCTATCTGTTTCTATCACAATGACATCCTTATGAATAAATTTGACATAACATGATCAACATCCCAAAACTGGCAAGAACTTGAAGAAGCATCAATGTTTTCTGCACCGGAAGTTGTTTCGTCCCCTTGTTTAGACAATCTGTACATGAAACATTTCGTTCTTTGAAGGCGGAGAATGTATATTAACAAACATTTAACCTGATCACTGGATGGATAATTTTTATATATTATTCCATCATTTAATTAATACGAAAGCCTATTAGGATCAAACTAGGTGAAAAGGCGTTATAACGCGGAAAAAGGCGTAATTACGCCTTTCCAAACGGCGTTATAACGCCTTTCCAAAAGGCGTTATTACGCCTTTCCAAAAGGCGTTATTACGCCTTTCTTAAAGGCGTACGCCTTTCCAAAAGGCGTTATAACGCCTTTCCAAAAGGCGTTATTACGCCTTTCCAAAAGGCGTTATTACGCCTTTCCAAAAGGTTTTATTACGCCTTTCCAAAAGGCGTTATTACGCCTTTTAAAATGGCGTTATTACGCCTTTTAAAAAGGCGTTATTACACCTCTTTTTTTTCAATACATGACTTACTTAGCCCACCCTGGGGGCTGATTATAATTAAATTTCTGGGAAAAAAGATTTTTAAATGTGTAAAATATTTTCAGTGTTAAACCAACTTAGTCCTTCTCTGATGCAAGACGCCTCTACCAAGGTGCATGGATTTCAGAAATTTTGTTGAAGGCTAATTGCTCATTATACCTATGCAAATACTTTGCCTGTTTTTTACCAAGAGGAGAGAAAAATATTTCAAATTTGACATGAATTTTTAATACGTGGCTAGCAAAGCCCAAAGCTGGTTCTGCCTATATCCTGGATTTTCAAAAGTAGAGTGTTGACTTCTCTTAATATGCATCCAAAATGCAAACAACTGTCTGCGAGATGTGCAGGAATATAGAAAATACTATAATTTATAATATAATTTTAAATATTAAAACATTTAATCTAAATATTGCATAAATAAAGATGGCTTTGGTTCAATCTTTCATATATTTACTATTTTAAAATAACGCCTTTCCATTTTTGGATATAACTCCTTTTCAAACAGGCCGGTAGTACGAATGTGAGTGGGGGGGGAAGCTCCCCCTCCCCACTTTTTGGGAGAATAGTCTTGCTATAGTTTAAATATAAAAAATCATTTATTGCTTGCTTGATCCCTTAACATTTTGTTGAAGTGTGGTTAAACTCGGGCAAGTCATTGCATTTAAAAAAGGTTTTACCGAAAAATTAGAAAATGTTTCCCCTGAAGTTTAGGCAGTTTATTTTTTTCGGGGTGGGGTGGGGTGGGTGGGGGTGTTTCTTGTTTTTTTGTTTGCTTGTCAATTTTATGGGACCCCCACCCCCCACCCCCACCCACACACTTTAAAAGCACGGGCCTGCCAAAGACATAATAATGGCCCTTCAAAAGGCATAATAACGCCTTTTTCAAAGGCGTAATAACGCCTTTTTCGCGTTATAACGCCTTTATTTGCGTTATTACGCCTTTTTTCGCGTTATAACGCCTTTTCAAAAGGCGTTATAACGCCTTTTAAATTTTTTTTTTACCGTATGTAGTTTGATCCTAATAGGCTTTCGTAATAATCAGCCCCCAGAGTGGCTAAGTAAGTCATGTATTGAAAAAAAGAGGCGTAATAACGCCTTTTTAAAAGGCGTAATAACGCCATTTTAAAAGGCGTAATAACGTCTTTTGGAAAGGCGTAATTACGCCTTTATTTGCGTTATTACGCCTTTTTCCGCGTTATAACGCCTTTCAAAAGGCGTTATTACGCCTTTTTTTTCGCGTTATAAGCCTTTTAAAAAGGCGTTATAACGCCTTTTGATTTTTTTTTTTTTTTTTTACCGTAGTTTGATCCTAATAGGCTTTCGTAATAAGAGAGGGGAGCAGGGGGCTGTGCCACTCCCTTTTTCTGAAAATATTTTTTTGCTATTTTAAAATAGAAATTTTCATTGAGAGGTCGTTATCCCTCCTCCTTTTTTTCGGTGCAGTACGGTCAAACCTTCCCACTGAAAGTATAGTATACAGTATCATTTTTTGTCGAAAAGAATGTTGTCTTCTTCTTCTAACCCCATCCCCCACCACTGCATCTATATAGCATCGTCACAAGCCACGGGTTTTATGAGAGAGGATGAATGTGTAGTCCCAATATTAACATTCCGAGTGACTTATAACATATTATCGCAATGTCAGAGACTGTATGATTTGGAGACAGGGAAGGGGGGGGGGGTTACAGTTGTGACTGAAAATCAACAAATTGTTCTGTTTTCCGTATTTTTCGCATCAAACTTTGAGATAAATATTGGAAAAGATTTAATACACATCTGCATATGTGCAAACACAGTTGCAGATCAAGTTATCCTTCTGCTGAATCTGGTCTTTCTTGGTAGCATTACGATACCACATGTACTGGTAACATTTTAAGTTCCTTGAATTTTAATACATTTCACAAAGGTAAGATCACTTGTGCAGGTGTTTTGAAAGGGTATTGACATTTTTTCTACAATAGAACTTAGTTGAAAAAAAAATTACGAAATACGCTGTAGGCCTATATACCATAGACCTAAAGCATTTGCTTCAGGTCTATGAATATACATATGCACTTCTCGAGTATACAGCATATCTCTATTTTCTTTCTTTTTTTTCAAATTTATTTTTATGCACTAAATAATTTGATTACTGTTTACAAGATTCCATGACTTCGACGCTTATAAATGTGAAATTTAATTGCCTGATTTTTTTAACTCTTAAATAACAATATGAAGTGCCAATCATATTTTGATCAAATGTTGTAAATTTAAAAAAAAAAAGCTAATTCACTTATTCAGGGAATTTATGTCCTTCACTTAACTAAGAACAAAGTAAGAGGGTGGAAGACACCCCACCCACCCCACCCCACCCCAATGCATATGGAAAAAATACCTTAATTGACCTTTTACCTTCTGTCCTTCAATTCAACAGTGGCCTTGGGAGATTGCTTTCAATAGATTCATTGTAAAAGCTCAAAGAGAACTAAAGACTACTTTATGCAACACTGCGTTTGAATTTGTGACCTGATCTTTGTCCTTTTGACCTCAAAATAAAAAAAAAAAATAGGGAGTTATATGATGTGAAATTTTGATCGCAAAAAACTCACAGACAACTAAAATTATATCATAATTATGGAAACCGAGGTTTTATTGTAATACATGTATGTGAATTTCTGACCTTGACCTTTGACCTTTAATAATCAATAAGGGTTTTCTATATAAGTCTTGCTGGGAGTTAAATATGTTATTGCATGCAAACGCTAATTTGATTTTTTTTAGGACTTTTAAAAAGAATCTTTCGGAATATTACAAATCTAGGGGCCCAAATTAACACAACATCCCCTCCCCCTTTTAGCGAAAGCGGAGAACAAGGACAACAACTGAACATAAATGATGGCCGTAGGAACCAAGGGGGAAACGCCCCCCCCCCCCCATAATTTTGCCGATATATAGATTACTTTAGTAAAAATAGATACTAAATGCTTGTGCCCCCTCAATAAAAACGTCTGATGCCCCCCTTTTTTTTTTTGCTTGTCAAGGATTTTCAATCAAGTATCCACTCCCTTTAGATCCTCCTTTGATTGTATGTACACTGCATTAGGTAAACATCCAAAACCTTCCGAGTAAACTTCCGAATGATTCAAGGTGATTTGAGAGGAAGCTCAAGCC